TCATAGACAATGGATCACCGTTGTCATCTCCTTCTCGTGCACTAGATACCGTCACTCAGTCTCATTGAGTTTGCGACTTTCGTAGGCCACCGGGTGACCCTCCTGCATGAGTAGTCCCCCAATAATAAAGTCTAAAGCATCTATATGAACTTCGAAGGGCTCCCCATAGTCTAGCAATTTGAGCATCGATTCTTCCAACACAATAACATTTAGATCTTGGAATGCAACTTCACATTTGTCAAACCATATCCAAGGCTGCTCCTTCTTCAGTAACTCCATTAGTGGAGCTACATGCTTCGAGTACCCAACTATGAAGCATCGATAGTAGTTGACGAAATCAAGAAAGGATCTCAGCTCCAGTACCTTCTTTGGTGTTCATCATTCTATAACAACTTGTACCTTTGATTTGTCCATTTAAATGGAACCATCACCGATTTGATGCCCCAAGAATAAGATCTTCATCTGAGCAAGATACCACTTCTCTATTTTCACGAACAAAGTATTCTCCCTAAGAACCTTCAAAATTGTCCGAAGGTACTTGGCATGCTCCTCGAGTGTTTGGCTATAGACGATGATATCGTCTAAGTAGACGATCACAAACTTATCCAAATACTTCTTAAATAGTTGGTTTTTAAGAGTGTAAAATATTATTGGAGTATTGATTAAGCTAAAAGGCATCACTAAGAACTCAAACACTCCATACATAGTCACATAGATAGTCTTTGCTTTGTCGCCTTCATTAATGCACACCTACCAATACCCCGACTAGAGGTCAAGTTTGGAGAAATACTTTGCTTTGCCCAATTGGTCGAATAAGTCCACGATAAGCAAATTGAGATATTTGTTCTTCACCGTCACCTTGTTGAGGGCTCGATAATTGACATATAGTCGGAGGCTCCCATCTTGTTTCTTTTAGAAGAGCACTAGAGCTCCGAATAGTGCTTTGGAACTATATATGAGACCACCGCTTAGCAGTTCATCTAATTGATTTCTGAGCTCTGCCAACTCTTGAGGGGACATGCAATATGGTGGTCTTGCTAGAGGCTTTATTCTCAACTCCAACTCAATATGATGATCCACGCCTCTACGTGGCGGTAGAGTTTTCAGCAACTCGGGTGGCATAACATCTATGAACTCCTTCAAAATGTTTGCCACCACAGCAAGTTCATGGATGGCCTCCCCGTCAAGTGGCTCCAGCTTCATAGTAGTCATGAAGGTTAATTCTCCTTTTTGTATCCCTTTCTTTAATTGTAATGTCGATATTTGTTGAGGGTCCTTAGTTTTTCTCCAAGAGATATGAACCACACAAGGGTTGTCACCTCCCATCATACATATGGAGTTTATAAATGACATTGGTACCTACTTCACCGCGTGCATGAACTCTATTCCAAGAATCACTTGAAAGTCATCTAATGGCACTGTTATAATATTTATGCTCTCGCTCCATGTTCCGATCTTGATAGGGACTCTCTTTGCTTGCCCGAAGATCCACTTGGCCTCCGAGTTCACTGTCTTCATCCGACTTGGGCTTTTCTCTAAGATCAGCCTAAGTCGCTTTGCTTCTCGGTTGGTAATAAAGTTGTGGGTAGCGCCCGTATCCACTATCACATTGGTTGTTTGGCCATTGAGCTTAATGTCCATGTATATCAGCTCGTTACTCTCTACTTTATATGGCTTTGCCTTCATGTTCTCCTCCATTTGACCCTGCAATGCATTCAACAAAGTATTGTTCCCATCCGAGGACCTTACGACTCCTCATCGTTGCTGTTGGATTCCGATGTACTTGAATTGAGGGCGATGGCCTTGCCCTTATTTGATTTAGGGGGATGGATTGAAGTTGTTAAGGCATTGAGTGCATGTTTCTATGGGCACTCCCTCACAGTATGCGGCCCTCCGTACAAAAAGCATCCACCATATTTTGGGGCCTTGCCTTTTGAGCTTGGCCATTTGTGGGAACTCTTTTTCCTTTACCCGCCCTTGGGCTCCTTCCCTCAAAAATATTTTGGAGGGTGATTTTTTTAAGATTGTTTCTTTTTCCCTGAGACCTCCGAGGAAACAAAGTCAGTGAGTCTTTCTATGACCACAATTGCCTCAATCACATTGGTGATATTCTTTCGATATAGTTCTTGTTGAGCTCATGGCTTCATGCCATTGAGGGAGCTGAACAGCTTATCTTTCTCAGATATGTCTTATATGTCCAACATCAGTATAGAAAATTGCTTCACGTAGTCTCGAATTAAAGTACTTTGGCGGAGTTATCTAGCTTCCTGCTTGCGACGAACTCTATGTTCTTGGGTAGGAATTGAGTTCTCAACTCCTATTTCAAGTCCTCCCATGTGTCCACTCGACATTGACCTTATTGGATTTCCTCCAACGGGTTCGCCACCATCCCCATTTAGATACATGATTGCTATTGAAACTTTGATATCTTTATAATCGGGCCTTATAGCTCAAAAGTACTATTTCATATCAAATATGAAGTTCTTGAGCTCCTTTGCGTCCCTAGCCACCTCCATAGCAATGAGGCTCAGGTGCCCTCAAGTTTTGTGATAGCGCAATATGGGTATTGCTTTCTCCCGCATTTAGTACCCTTGTGAGCGATGTCACTCTGAAGTGAGCTCCGCCACGACTTCGTGCAGATGTTGCATAAAGTCTTTGGTGTCTTCCATCAGTCGATCGACTAGGGACTCAACCCTGTCGATTCAAAAACAAGCTCTCTACCCCAAGAAGCCTTCTTTGGCCTTGGTAGAGTTCCTCCAAGCTCGCTTCAAGAACATTCAAGCGAGTTTATGCTATTATGACTTTGGCTCTTTTTCATGGTTGGCACTCTAGATTGCGCCTCTTCCGCTCACGGAGAGTAGCCAACTTTTCGCTCGTCATGTTTGCTGTCACGCTCCTCCAAAGTGGCTCCAACAGTATGAGAGCGAGTTTACACTTGCAAACCACCTATGGTTGCTTGGGGCAATGGTCTAGCTTGCCCCGTCTTACTCGATTCGCCACGATGCTTTGCCATGGCGAGATTACGAAGTTTCTTTGTTGCTTGCTCAAATTGCTTGTCTGCTTTGATACCACAATGTCACAGACTTAACTAGAATTGCCTAAGTCATGAGGCACCCTAACAGCAAAGTCACGGACTTCGCTGAAGTTGCCTACGTCATGAAGTACCCTTGCGCCAACTCCTCGGACTTAGTTGAGATTACCTAAATCATGATACGCCCTTATCACATATGTGTCCACAAAGGGTCGACCTAGTTGTAACCTTGTACAAGTCTCGAAAGACCTCTATAAATAAAGAGTTCATTAGTTTAAAAATAAGCAACGAACAAGTCCCGATGTCTCACGAAGAGGAAAGCTTTACAAGCAATTCAATGAGCACCCTGAATGCAAGACGGAAAAGAGAGGAAGGAGAAAACAAAGACTTTAGAATGTTTAACGAACAGTTGCAAGTCCGTAAACAACTGCTCACCGGGTGTTGGGCGTGAAGGCAAGTTCCCATCGAGTTAATGTGCGAACTTATAAAGATTATTTAACACCCAACACTACTCCAAAACCCCATCAGGGGGTTCCAAGGTGTTGAAATGGTTGAGATTTTGCGTGAGACTATAGTCTAAAAAAATAGGTCGTAGCACATGAAAATGAAGCCATTTTGGGGCAATTTGGTCCGATCCGACAAGCGATCGCACTACAGCGCTGCAAACTGTTATTTTTATATTTTTTAAGTAAAAACACATAAAACCCATGCAAAACATGCTGTTATGTATCTGTATAAGCATGCAAAAGCGACGAACAGTTCGTTGAACTAAGTTTTTGTGAGTGTGCGACGACCGTTCGTCACACTATGTTAGTAGAAATTTGCTACAGCGAAAGCGTAAGATGAAATATACCTAAGATGTGTGAGTCTAAAAAGCTCGACCCATAAGAGGAAATCCTGAACGCTCCCTTGACTAATGAACTAAACAACATACTTCGAGCCCCTCTCATAAAGACCTCGAAACACGCCTTCTAGGGGAGACAAATGATAAGAAATATAATGTCGACTAATACATGATCGCCATGTGGGATTCGAGTCACTCTCCACCCATCTATCTACGTGGATGAAGATTCAAAGCAAGTAAACATAAGTTTTCTTCTCATCCATTATACCAAGAAAGATAATCACAAGCTTTCTTCTTATCTATTATGATGAGAAAAACAATCACAAACTTCCTTCTCATCCTATAAAGTATAAAAAGATATCTTAAACCCAATACAATAGACTCCTTTTGAACTAATCGAATCCGCATTTAAGAATCTCATATTACTAACTTATGTGTCCAAGAGATCGGGTCCGAAAATCTCTCGTGACCTCAGTATTCGTATAGATGGTACTTCAAAAGCTTTGAGTTTCCACTTGGAAGGATCAACAATAAATTCCCCTAACAACATTTGATTTTCTTAATAAACAAATAATTTTGTTGATTATTTATGAGCAACGTGCATATACTATCAATAAAAATAGTATAAAGATTACATACTTTTGATTTAATCAAAGATATCATCTTATATAAAACTCGATGAATATATATATATATATATATATATATATATATATATATATATATATATATATATATATATATATATATATATATACTTATCAAAAAGTTTCCTTCCGCTTCGTGAGGCCCAACCAGTTTTTACATATCTATATTATTTGCCCTCGTAGATTTTTTTATAACATATATGTCCTTCAAATATTGAGACTGATAAATTAAATATATAAAATAAAAAGTACTCAAATAATCCTAATATACTAAATATGATACTGTTTTAAATGATTAGTATTTATTATAGTTCAAGTAACAATTTAATGTCTGTTAAATGTAGATTTATGCATGTTGTAGGATTTAGATGCTAAACTTCAAGTCGAGAGGAAGTAAATAATTAACTTTCAAGGGATTTATATGGAAAATTACCCCCTGTTTTCCACGGTATAAACGATCCCAAAACAAAAAGTAAACGGATCCCACGCGGAGCGAAGAGGGAGGAAGGAAAGAGAGAGGAAGAGGCCGAGGCGGCTTCATCCCTCCCCCCTCCTCCTCGATCGATTGTCGCGATCTCCTGATCCCTAGCTTTTCGATCTGAATCCCATCTTCCTTTCTTGGAACCGGGGATCGGGGGTCGATGGCGGACGGCTCCGCGACGCGCCGCCTGCGCGAGATCCAGTCGCGGACGGGGAACAGGACATGCGTCGACTGCGCCCAGAAGAACCCGCAGTGGGCCTCCGTCTCCTACGGCGTCTTCATGTGCCTCGAGTGCTCCGGGAAGCACCGGGGCCTCGGGGTTCACATCAGCTTCGTCCGGTCCGTCACCATGGACGCGTGGTCCGAAGCCCAGCTTAAGAAGATGGAGGCCGGTGGCAACGATCGCCTCAATGGGTTCCTTGCCCAGTGCGGCGTACCAAAGGAGACCGACATCGTCGTCAAGTACAACACCCAGGCCGCTGCCGTCTACCGCGACCAGATCGCGGCCGTCGCCGATGGCCGACCCTGGCGCGACCCGCCCGTCGTCAAGGAAACGCTCGGTTCCGGGGCAAGGAAGCCGCCGTCGGGGCGGAGCGCCGGGAAAGGTGGTAACTTGGCGGGTAATGGTAGTTGGGATAGTTGGGACGGCGACGACGTCACATCGTCTTCCGATATCAGGAGGAATCAGTCGGTGGGCGATTTTAGGGCGGGGAGCGAAGGAGGAAGAGGGGTGAATCCGCCCTCCAGATCCAGATCGACGGTTGATATATACACTAGGGCTCAGCTGGAGGCATCCGCCGCCAACAAGGAGGGCTTTTTCTCGACGAAGATGGCAGAAAATGCTTCTCGGCCTGAGGGAATTCCACCATCTCAGGGCGGAAAGTATGTTGGTTTCGGATCGACTCCACCACCCTCTGCTCAGAGGAACAACCCTCAGACTGATGTTCTCCAGGATACGTTTTCCATTGTTTCTCAGGTGAAGAGATTAGTACATTTGTCATACATAGATAACTGATCGTTTGTTATGCATTTATGTTTTGTAAGCTTAAAGGTGTTCAGTCAAAGTACAAGCCTACTAGATTTCTGCTATTCGCTTAGTTAACTCAAGAAAACTTAATATTATTTATTCAATGATTTAATTTGCACGATGGAAAGGACCATTTGTTTTCTGCAAGTTTTCTTTCTTGAAACCTTAATTTTCGCAACTTTTGAGCATCAGAACTTACCGAAAGCATGTAAGTGTTTAGGCTACATACTGAAATACTTTGAATGTTCCATCATTTTTAAGTGTCCTTGGAAATACTATAATCATGGTAATTTAAACTATTTTAGTAACTGGGTAACCTGTTAAGCAACATATTCTTTGTCTATGGTGGTAAACAAAATCTTAATAGTATTAAAGATGTTTTTGGTCCAGTAGTCAGCAGGCTTTGCATTCGTACTTCAATCAAACAGTTTCTTAGATGTCTCTTTCACACTGAAGTAATGGTCACTTTGGAAATTAGCACACCTAATTAATTGAGATTTGCACAAAGAAGTTTAGGTAATAGCCTAGACTACTAACGCATCTCAATAAGTTTATTGTTTTTATACTCTATAAAAAACCTTGTGGATCATTGACCAATATTGAATCCCATGAAAAGGTGAAGGGTTGCATTAGGTCACTGACAATAAATGTAAAACAATGTCAGATCTCATGAGCATGGATCTTAATCGATTTCAGTATAGATCTAGATCGTCACCCGGAAGTGACACAAGACACCTTCACTACCTAGGTGTCCCAAATTGCAAACGGTAAGTTAGAAGATCGCCCGGAAGTGGCCCATCATATTGTTTTGGACTAATGGGAATAAAGAAGTTAGTTCAAGAACAAAGGATTATGTTAGCTACTTGGAATATGGGAACACTGCTAGGGAAGGGATCAGAATTGATAGATAGACGGTTTGATCAGAAGAAGAATGAATATGATTTGCTTACAAGAAACTAAGTGGATAGGGAAAAAATCTTTAGAGATTGATAGTACTAGATTTAAAATTTGGTATACTTGAAAAGTTAAACACAAAAATGGTGTAGGAATTATTGTTGATAAGGATCTTAAGAACATGTTGTAGATGTAAAAAGATTTGGAGATAGAATTATAGTTCTAAAATTTATGAAAGGATAAGATGGTTTGAATGTCATAGCGCTTATGCTCCTTAGTCGGATTGGATGATCAAACCAAAATAGAATTTTGGATGATATCATTCAAGGAATGTTTATAACTGAAAAAGTTATAATTGGAGGAGATTTAAATGGTCATGTAGGGAAAACATATGGTGAATATAAAGGGGTGTATGGAGGCTTTGGTTATGGGGAGAGAAATGAAGCTGGTAGCATGATTTTGGATTTTACAACCTCGTATGATCTTATAATTGTAAATACTCACTTTAAGAAGAGAGGTGAACATTAATTACTTATAAGAGTAGTTACAACTGTAGATAAATATATTTTTTTCTCCCTAGAAAGGGAGATAAAGTAATATGTAAGAATTGTAAAATTATACTTGGCAAATGTTTGATGAATCAACATAGGTTGATGATATTAAATATTTATTGTAGACAATGAAAGAAGAAAAAGATAGTAGAAAAAATTGCTAGAACTAGATGGTGGAATTTTAAAGATGATAATATAAACACTTTTAAGAATAAGATGGAAAAAAAAGACAACTTGGAACTTAGATGAGGATAACATTAATATTATTTGGACTACGATGGTTAATAATATTAGAAATCTAACAAAGAAGATTCCTAGTGAAACTAAAAGTAGTAGTGTAACCTTAAGAGAGAGTTGATGGTGCAAGGAAGTTCAAAAAATAATTTTTACTAAAACATCATATTTTAAAGATTGGCAAAATTATAAAAATAAGAAAAACAATTAAAAGATATAAAGAATTTAAAAAAGAGGCTAAAAAAACAGTTAGTATGGCAAGATATAATTAGTATAGCAAGATATAAAGCTTATGATAACTTTTATAATGAATTAGGTACTAAAGATAGTGAAAAAGACATATATTGAATTGTTAAAGCCAAAGAAAGAAATTGTAAGGATTTAAGCAATATTTGATATATTAAAGATGAAGATCAAAGAATACTCGTTAATGATAACGAGATTAAAGAAAAATAAAAATTTGTTTTATAAATTATCTAGTAAATATTCGACACAGGACTTAAATTTAATGATCATATATTTATTTATAAGATTAGAGCTAATAAAGTAAAATATGCATTAAAGAATATGAAAATAGCAAAGAGTGTGAGGCTTGATGGAATTCCTATTGAGGTATGAGAAAGTTTAAGGGAAAAGGGAGTAGCTTGGTTAACTAGCTTATTTAACAAAATCATGAGATTCGGAAAAATGCCTAATGAATAGAGAAAGAGTTTTTTAGTGCTACTTTACAAAAATAAGGGTGACATATAAAATTGTTTAAATTATAAAGGAATTAAAATCATGAATCATGCTATGAAACGTTAGGAAAGAGAGATCGAAAGTAGAATAAGTCAAACAAATATCTCTGAAAATCAAATTGTTTTTATGCCTTGAAGATCAATCATAAAGACTATTTATTTATTAAGACAATTAATAAAAAAGTATAGAGGAAAAAGAAAGATTTGCATATGATATTTATTGATTTAGAAAAAGCCTATGATAAGGTTTCTAGTGATTTATTATGGTGAGTTTTAGAAAAAGAAGATGTATCCACTAATTATATTGATGTTATTAAAGATATGTATGATAATGTATCTATTAGTGTTAAAACTAGACGGAATATGTCAAGTAAGTTTTTTATTAGCATATGATACACCAAGGATCCGCATTAAGTCCCTATCTTTTCACATTGATAATGGATAAATTTACTAGTCACTTACATGATAGATCTCCCTGGTATATATTATTTGCTTATGATATTGTCTTAGTTGATGAAAACTTAAGTGGAATTAATTATAAACTTGAGCTATGGAAGCAAGCATTCGATACTAAATGTTTTAGATTAAGTAAGACTAAAGTTGAATATATAAAATGCTATTTTAGTGATTCTAGAAATAGATAAGAGAACATAGTTAAATTGGATGGACAAGAAATCCTCTTCAATAAAAGCTCTATGTATCTTGGATCAATTATTCAACAAAATGGATAGGTCGATGATGATATTATTTATAGAGCAAAAATAGAATGGTTAAGAAAAAATAGATATTTTCTTTGAGATTCAAAGAAAAATTTTATAAGATAGTTATGAGACCAACAATGCTTTATGGATCTGAGTGTTGGACAGTTAAGAAAAAATATATACAAAAAGTTTGTGTTATCGAGATGAAAATATTGAGATGGATGTATGGAGTTACTAGGAAAGATAGAAAAGGAAATATTTTTATTCATGAACAATTAAGTATCGTTTCAATGAAGGATACGATGAGATAAAATCATTTAAGATGGTATGAGCATATGCTGAGAAGACCTACTGGATATAGTAGTCATATGAGGTGAAATAATTAATTTTAGTGGTATAAGAAGAGGCAGAGGAAGACCTAAAAATATTTTAATATAAACTATAAATAAAGATTTAAGTACTATGAAATCAATTAAACATATGATTTCTTACATATCTCAATGATGACAAAAGATCTATATAACCGATCCTAAATAGTTGGGACTTACAATTTTGTTGTTAATATTGTATCATTGACCAACATTCCTGATTTATGAGACAAATTAATTTTATTTTCAACTACTAACGTTAGTGTTCAAGCCTCAAATTGCAACACCTATTCTATGTCTGTTCATGTCCATATGGGTCATATGTGTATATGAACATAAATCATCAATTTATGCTTTTGGTTTCCCCACTGGAAGAATTATATGTGCCTTTTTGGAGATCATCAAGCTTCTTTTCTTGAGAGTAAAGTTTTACATTTACGCATTCAACTAATCGGCTTGTTAAAGTACACCATGTTTTTGCTGATCTTTTAGGGTCTGGGCCGGCTTTCTTTTATTGCTACCTCTGCTGCACAGTCAGCTGCTAATGTTGTTCAAGCTGGCACAAAGGAGCTGACATCAAAGGTACTCTTCATTTTTTTCTGCAAAATTTGCTGGCATAAGCTGGCATTCACTTACTCTGTCCATTCTTGACTGTTTTAATTTCCCTTCTGTGATGATTTATATAGTGATGGCAAAAGAAATCATGTTTAAGTTTGTGCTCTACAGAAAGAGTAAACTTTTAATTTGGCATCCCACAAATTTCCCATTTGTTTTATTATTGACACATTGCTTTTTTGTTTAAAGCCTTTTGATTTTCTTTTAAGCAGAACTTGTTTCTAAGTGAATTGTGGAACCTTGTACTAATGCAAAAAGATATATAATCAGGATCCTCAATCTTGGTTCAAAATTATTTCAATAACATGTGTATTTATGTGATTCATATATCTCAAATCCAGTTGCAATGTTGAAGAAGATGGTCTACTAGTTGTTTTACACTATATAATTGATGTGCATAGGTCTTTCAATTGTTTTATTAGACAGATGGGAAACGGAAAGACACTACTTCTGTCAAGTAGATTTTAGATACTGACCTAAAGTCTCCTGCTTATGACCCTACCATGTATGGCTTAGCACCCTAGCATGTCAAAGATATAAATAGCCCATATAATGTACTAGTCGAGTGCATTCATTAATGTACCTCTGTGGCTGGAATTACTCTGTACCTAAAATTATCTCCTATATTAACCTTAATCTTATGTTTAAATTGGCAATTTTCTTCTTTACTTTAGATCTTAAGAAGCATAAGAGAGTTGGCAATGGTGTCTTTGTAAGAGATATTTGATTCAATCCACGCCTGATAGAAGAACAGATTCAGGACCACTTAGAATCAGATAAACCTATGTTGGATGACTCAAGGCTGATAACTTTTAACTCAGTCACCCTGAATCTTCCATTCGCAGATCAATCAACAAAAATTCTGTATCTACTTTGAAGCACTCAGATTGGACATGCAGCCATTTCTGTTCTAAAGGAATCCAAAGTAATCCAGCTCCAAGGTTTTGGGAAATGGATATCTGATAGGTGAGAGGTTCATCTGTCCATTCTAAGCAAACTTGCCTAGGTAACCTTTTGAGAGGCCTAGGCAAATGACCTGAATGCACAGGTGTCATGTAGGGAATTATTATTTAATAATGCAGATTAATATATGTATACAGAAGTTAAGTTCATACTGTTTTAGCAATTTTTAGGTTCCCATAAAACATATGATTTATATGAATTTATCTTGCATTAATATTTCAATGTAATTCACAGACGATGGAATTCTTAATATTTACTATTTGTATTGGAAATTCTGATTATAATTCTAAGAGTTTTTAATTTTCACTTTGATGTCTCTTTGCAAGTGTTTTGATGAATGATACTACTGAATGCACCTGTTATGTTAACTATTGGCATTTAATTGCAATTCTCAGTTTAGAAATAATGTTTTTGTACCAAGGGATAACTTGAGAGAAGAAGAAACCTTTAGGAACCTAGGTAGCTCCCCAGATCCCATCTAGAAGTTTGGATTGTTGCTTTGCCTGAAACTCAAGAAGTGTCAGATTCTTGGGTAATTTTGGTTGCAAAATGACCCAGGCAGATCACCAAAGTGGACTAGGTGGTTCCAGGACAACACTATCCTCGAGTCAAACAGACAAGACCTGAGTACTTGCTCTGACGCACATAGAACTTCTATTTCCTGCATCTTATTTTACTTTTATGTACCAAGAAGGACCTTTTGTACTGGAGTTTTTATGGTTGCCCAGCTAATTAAATGTCCTTTCATGATTAGCTTGTATCGTTAAAGCCCTTCATTTGCACTTTATTAATCCAGATGATAGAGGGAGGTTATGATCAGAAAGTCAATGAAACTGTGAATGTCGTTGCCACCAAAACCACTGAGATTGGGCAGAAGACATGGGGGATCATGAGAGGTGTTATGGCAATGGCATCTCAAAAGGTTGAAGAATATGCCAAAGAAGGGATCAACTGGAACGAGGATGATTGGTCATGGAAGGAGAGTGAGAAAAATGGTCCTTATCAAAAGTTTGGGCAAAACAACAAGGACTGGAATTCTTTCGAAGAGAGCTCAGAGAGACATCAGAATTCTGTGAGCTCCTGGGATGATTGGGATGAGAAAGCAAGGAAGAAAGAGCCTGTAAAGGGGACAAATGGTACTGATCAAGAATTTGGGCAGAACAACAAGGGCTGGAATTCTTTTGAATCGAACTCGGACAAACATCATAATTCTGTGAGCTCCTGGGATGATTGGAATGAGAACGAAAGGAAGAAAGAACCCGGAAAGGGGACACAGAGTGGTAGCGAAAGCTGGGCTGGTTGGGATGATGTGAAAGATGATGATGGCTACGGCACCTACAATCATAGCACCCCATCTGGCAACACTACTAATCAGAACAGGAAATCTGGTTCCACATGGACAGATGGTGGCTTCCTCTGATGCTGGTCTATTTTTGATATCATTTTCCTATAGCATGGTAAGATGCTTGTGTCAGTACTAATTTATATTGTTGATAGTTTGGGGTCTGCCCCATTTTAGTTGCAATAAACAGTGATCTTCTTCTGTGTGCTGTCTTCTATATTTGCAAGAATAGCAGATAATCATGTTTGTGGATCGTATACCATTTGAAATTTTCTCAAGGATGGTTCTGTTTCTTTCACTAAATATATCATGCAGCTCCACTGATGATGTCTTGCGCTGGTAGATCTTCATGCCATCATCCCAAATTCCTTATTAAATATTTGTTTTTTTTATGTTTTAGAAAATTGGTGGGAGATTGGTTAGGTAATAACTTAGCTTTGGTTCTATAATTCTATCTTTAAACATTATCTGTTTTGTTGCCATGCATACTTGTACTCTGAAACTTATATTTCTGCTAATGCTTTGTATAAATGAGTTTGTGTTGTCTTCAGCTGTGTCATAGTAGCACTTATGGATGTGCAGTAGTCTTTTGCATCAGCCAGCATTGACATTTATTCTCCACCTACTAAGAATTAAGACTGTCTCAAGATCTCATCTAACAAATTTTTCGTTTGATCTTTGACTGGGATCGAATCTCATCTTTATCGTTTTTCCTTTTGCTCGATCTATTAATTATTTCTAATCTTAAGGTCTTAGGATTGAATCCCATCTTCGGTTCAACATTTACTTCTAGATCTACAAAAGTATTTCTAACCTCAAGATTGGTTCCATACCCTTATTTACTTGCATCATCTTTTGACGCTTGCTTTACTAATCCTTCCATGCAAAGTGTTCATCGACAATTTTGTGAAAGTTTGAATCATCATTCATTTATGCAGAACTTGATGCAATTGATATCAGATCGGCCGAACCTATTATTATAAGTTTGTGTGAAAGTTTGAATCATCATTCATAGAACTCGATGCAATTGATATCAGATCGGCCGAACCTATTATTATAAGTTTGTGCGCATGACATGCTACAACCATCAATTTACCATGGATATAAGATCTGGATTATATTTGCATTTAATGTTGCCGAGAAAAAGAGTCCTGAAATCATATCACATTGGGTTTACCAAATGCTGAAAACTCTGTTTTGGCTCATACCCATGACTTAAATGCATGGTAAGTGCTACATAGAGTAAGTAATGCCTGCATGTTTTCTTCCTTTATAACAATGACAGTCAACCAGAAGACAAACCAGAAGAAAGACAGGCAATGAAGTAGACCTGCACCTGAGTCCAAAATATTTATAGGACATATATATAAGTTGTTGCATTATTCATAGGCATTACAAAATGGCTTATTCGGATAAATATGCAAATAACTAATCGATGTGCTGCTTCGGCACACCCAACCGCTGCCGGAAGTCTTCCTCCATGAAAGGTAAGCCTTCACGTAGAGTAATCTTTGGCTCCCAACCAAGCAGTTCCTTTGCCTTTGTGATGTCTGGCTTCCTCTGGCGCGGATCATCGGGCGTATTCTCCACATTCTTTAGAGGCACTGCTGGGTTGATCAACTGAAACATCAGACGGAGATCAGTGTTACATCATCATCATTGTACTAATTTATCAAATGAGATTTTAAACTCTATGTGAAGGTGTAAAAATTTATCCAACGAGTTTTCAAACTAAATCAATCATGTAAAGAATTTAATGATAAAACCTTTGGTAAGTGAATTTGACACATCACTATTAGACTTTCGGAGATATTTCAAAAGGAGCATTGTCTATGGCATTCGGCAAGACGAAATCGTTGGAGATGACTTCTCAAGGAGTGAAACTTTACCTCTTTTACGGTTTCAGCAAGTTCCATCATCGTAAATTCACCTACAGCATGCAACTTTGGCATTAGAGAAAGTAGAAGCATAACATTCGGACGTCCTCATCTACCAAACATCACATAGCCATGCCAGAACACCTTCAACTCAGAACACAATACTACAATGAGCAACATAAAGGCTCAAATAGCAAATCTAAGGATTACCTGGATTCCCAATGTTGATAGGCCCGGTGTTGTCTCCTTCCATTAGTCGAATAAGACCATCAACCTTCAATGTTTAAAGAAGCTATATGATCAAACAACCAGTCACAATTCTATAACATTACAAGCATAATTCTAAGTAGAGCATATATCCACCATGTCAGAAACATAACAGAAGCTTCGAGTTTGTGTTCCCGGTGCTTGAACTGTTAGTGGCTCACCTCTGTAGAGCGAAGAAAGCATAGAAAAGAGACTTAAGTGATCAAAGATCAAGGACAACAACTAAAAATGTGATGATGACAAATTAATAGAAAAGGATCCGTGGTGACATATATAAGTAGCAAAATTGCTACAGTATTACCGAATTGCCTGAGCGATGAAGTTACTGACTACACGGCCATCATCAATATTCATGCGTGGTCCGTATGTATTGAAAATTCTTGCAATTCGTATTTCTGATAAGAGAATACATCAAAAACATTAACATAAATACAATTCTACTTAGCCAACTTAATAAACCACAGGAAGAAAAGTTAACAACCGACACACCTAGGCCGTGCTGCCTGTGATAATCAAACATCAACGTCTCTGCGACACGCTTTCCTTCATCGTAACAACTCCTTACTCCTAAAAATTAAAGCTAACAGTCATAAATTGATTAGAAGCATAATTTCAAAGCTGGGTTCTCCAGTCTTCAAATCTATATTTGCATTCATGTATTTTACAGCCAGTGCGTGAGTATCTTATGAGGAAAAAAGAAGTTAAATCCTATTAGAAAGCGGGGAGGCAAATACTACAGGTTAATCTGTTGAAATAATCAACACTACATAAATATTTACTCATGCCTATGATTCTGTATCTGTTGTCATGGCAAATAAGATATCAACAAAGGAACACAACACCAATGGCAAGATAGATTAGCTGAAGAAAATATCTTCCTTTGCCACCTATGATGGACCTAAATTAGAGAAAGGAAGTCCAAGTTCATCCCTGCTAATTGTACTCATTCTTGCACTTGTACACCTTAAAGTTAATTAAAATCCAGATTTACCAAAAGAGAGCAAATTAAGTTACAAGAGTAATTATGAATCATATGCTAATTTGAGGAACTTGAAGATATTCCATCTAAGAAAATATGATACATTGGATAACTGTAGGAGACAAGTTATAATGAAGAATTATTACCAGAAACATCAAAAAGAGGGTATCCTTTTTTTCCACAAAAAAAGAAGAAAATTCTGATTTGAATACATATATGAATATGTCACACCTATTGGGTTAACATTGCCCCAGTACTCTTCCTTCTGAGGATGCTCGAGAGGATCACCATAAACCTCTGAGGTTGAAGTCAGTAAGATCCTGTAGGAAAAAACATACATGGAATAGTAGATTTGTTATTGCAGATAAAAAGCATGAAATGTGAAAAAAAAAAAAAAAAAAAAAAGGGGCCACCGGAGCATAGCTTACCTTGCCCCGACCCTCTTTGCAAGCCCCAACATGTTTAAGGTGCCAATGACATTTGTTTTTATTGTCTGGTAAACATCAAATTATGATGTTATCACGTTGAAGATAGCTATGCACAATGTATGAACAGACAAGCTATCAAGCATGCTCTGAAAAGGCTATTTTGTTGTCCCCCGAAAATGATATTCCAAATTTTAAATAACAAAGACACACACCTTAACAGGATTGTACTTGTAGAAAATTGGAGAAGCAGGGCAAGCAAGATGGTAAATCTGATCGACTTCCACCAACAATGTCTCGGTAACATCTAAAGTAGTGAGAACACTTAGAAGCAACCAATGAACATCATGGATGACACACAAAGATATATATCAAACACATTATAAGATCTTATTACTGTTGATGACAACCATGCACTGAACTAGAAAGATATAAAGGGAACATGAGAAACAGATGGGTGATAAGCTTCCAATACTGCAAGAAATTTCATTTATTAATCCATCTTCTACTTTTTGTGAATATTAGGACATATGAATCTGATATGAGACAAACCTATGATACTTTTCAACATCAGTAAGATGTTAGATTTAAAAATAATCTCCCCAGCTAGCCTTGACCACGGCTCCAGTGTTCTGATTAGAATCGTCGATTTTGACCAATAAAAAAAAATTGGATTACCCCACCAAGATTCGAATCCAAATCCTTCAGCTTAAAATGCTAACCACTACACCATGGAACCTATCTACGTTTTATTCTTACTTCTTTCATTTATAGTCGGTTCAAAATCGAACCAAAACCACCGATTCCGATTCCGAATATGGTTCCAGTTCCAATTTCTAGAACCTAGAACTGAATTGTATGGCCTCAGTTCTTGTTTGGTTCAAAACCATCGAACTATCAACCCGATTTGATTTCGGACCGATTTGGTTCAAGTCCAACTCAAACTGGAGTTAGGCTTATCCCTACCAAGAGATGCTTCCATTATTAGGTCTACCAAATTTCTTGTATCATTAGAGATAATAAGAAATTTTCTATCAGAATTTGTGGGTGGTATAAGAACGGGGCTTGGTACAATAGTAATGTTGCTCCTTTGCGACAGACTACGTTTCGAGTCATGGAACTCATGGAACAACATGTTAAAGCCACGTACATTGATCCTGTCCCACATTGGCGGGAGCCCCATGTCTTGCATACACCATTCTTAATATATGAGTAGCCTTATTGATATATTTCAAGTCCATAACAAATTGAGAACCTTAAATACAATGTTCTAGGAGCACAAACAAGATAATTTATTCACTAACATATCCAAGCGATATGTAACTATTAGGCCAAAAAATAAAAAGATATGAGAAAAGTTACTAAAGCTTTCCTTTCATTCTATAAAGTCATATATTCACCTCTATCTTGCTATTTGTTATCATATAATTTGTTGTTCAGAGTATAAAGAAAAGAAATAGCATGATGGCTCACAAATGCCTCGTAAGATGACTAGCTCAGAATCATTTTATGCAGATATATCAATTTTTATCACACATCATAATCCTACTGCAATTTAGTATTCTGAATATCAAAGATGTATCATCCTTAAGTGCTCTGTATCTTATAGCATGAAGCATACTTGAGATATTCATGAGCAGTTAAAGATTTCAATTCAATTTAGAAAAAGAAAGTACTTTACCAATGACCAAAGTCTAAACATTGACATTTACTGAATAAGCACAAAAAAGATACCATGTCTAATAAGCTCAAATCTTGGATGCCCAAACCACTTCTTAAGGTTGTCTTTCGATCCAGTGAAATAGTTATCCACAACAATAACCTGAAGATACCAAATATAACGTAACACATAATGCAAATCATGAGGGCGCCCACAAATAATTATTCATATGATCAGCATCGGTTAATTAGCTGAAGAGACATAATATAAGTAGCAGCCTTATACATGAATAATACTCGCATACATTCCCTTTTTCGTTATTCAAGAAAGTCAATTTGACCAACTTTTTGTTGCTAAAACGAAGTTACAGAAAAAGTAATCTTCCACAACTTGTGAAGGCCGATAATCAGGCATTGCAGATGCCTAGTGCCAAAAGCATTGTGAAGAAATCAAAGAAGTTGATAACATTGTCAAGAACTCTGCAGTTATGTATTATCATTCAGATAGCAATGTATCCCGGACCACATATAATAGCAGAAATTGACGACAGATTCAAGTAGATTACATTCAAAAATTTAACGCAGATCATGCCGAATAGCATATGCTTTCAGAGAAGGCCAAGTGTCACGCTAAATCCCGATCTTAGTCAATAAGAATCATCCAATTTCAGATTCATGAAGGCAACAACAACAAGTTAAAAAGGTAGCGACATCCAAAATATGAACATAGGAACCTATATTATAGTAAATGATCACATGCTATTAGCATGAATTCTTAACATAACTGATCCATACCTCATTCTTCTCGTTTTCCATCAACTTGTCAACAAGATGAGATCCAATGAAACCAGCCCCTCCAGTAACCAAAATTCTCAAATTGGACTGCAGCAGGAGCACCGTAACAAAACAATATCTATCAGTTAAGTTTCTAAAATAGAGACCAAATGAGAAGCGACTCCAAAGCTCATAACTAGATCCGAGTAATGCGCAATAATGAATTGGAGGAAATGGCCACTCTTCGACCAAATCTCAATGGAAATCACTAGATCTAAGCAATGCGGGAAAAATTCCTGTCTATAATGAACTAAAAGAAATGCCAACTCTCCTACCAAACGTCGACTGATGTTATTATTAGTTCCGAGTGATGTCCAATATATCCTTTACACATAATAACGAACAAAAATAAATGATCATAAACATGAAAGAATAGATAATCGATCCCTGTAAAATATTAAAAAAAAAAGAAAAATTACCTGAAAAAATTTGGAAAACCGGAGCGGTGAAGGAATGGGAGGTGGCCTCGTGATGGTGTGCTGATCGCCATTGGCGAGCTCCTTTGCCATTGCTCGGACCTCGCCTCAAACAACTGATCTGCAACAATGGTTTAAGAGCGCCAACCACATCAGATCTCACCAAAAGCATCAACAAAAGAGGCGAAAAGATGACGAATGCCGAACCAAACGAAAATTGCAGCAAAGAAGCGCCTAGAAACTAAGCGGTGAGAGAAACAGTCGGATCAGAGAGGCCTATATAAAAAGATGAAGCGGAATCGAAGATCACCAAACCACGGGTGATGCAATCAATGCACGGAATTCGGAGGAAAAGAAACGACACTAGCGATTTAAAAGCAAAAAAGGGCGCACGGAAGCCCTACCAGATCGGGATCTGAAATCACCGTTTCAGCCACTAGAAGATTCGAGCTTTTGTTCCTGAGGGATTGGGTAGGCTTACCGCGGCTGAGCTGGTGCCAGATGGGATCGTTTGGCCAACGAGGCACCGGCCTGCGAAGCTGCTCGTCTCGCCTGTTACGGTCGAGCGACCCACCGTGGAAGGACGTCTCCTCATTGGCCGAGATATGCGGGTGCCACATAATGATAAAGCTTGTTTAGATGGGAATCAACCGACTGGCCCCTAATGATAAAGCTTGCAGTAACGGGACCCACATGTGGGCCCAGGATCTCTTCCCCGCCATGCCGCGTGTAACCGGCATTGCGAACCCTCCTAATTGCCGTTGCCGACCCTAATCGGCCGCGCTTCGCTTCGGCGGTGCGAAACCGGAGGGTTGATGCCGTTCTCGTCTTCTCTCCATCACTCTCCCTTCATTAGAGGCCAATTTAAGATCGATCGAGATTTTGATCGGGCTATCTATCTGGTTGGTTGATCAAAGGCGAAACGATCGACCTTAATCCGATGCAATGCTACTGGTTGGAAGAAGTCGAATTTACTTGTTCTGTACTCACGTTGATTCGAAAGCGTTCTGTTTCTACTTGATGAAAGCTTCCAATCTGATGCATGACAGCCAGCGTGGTGTGAGATGTCGAGAATAGACACTGTTGAAGAGAGATTTCAGATCAAACCTTCAAGACACGGGTCGCATAGCGGAGTGGATATCGCGTTAGACTCCGGATCTAAAGGTCGTGGGTTCGAATCCCACTGCGATCGTCAGCGTCTCCTAGCCCTTTTTATTGTGCGGATTTGACCATGGTCACAGCTGTGTATTGAGCCAGTAAATCAGCTATAAATCCATCACAGATATTTTTCAGATGTATACATACATAAAGTGAATGAAGTTGTAATTAGCATATACTTATCACAATGATCAAATAGATTTATAATAATCTGAACAGTATAATATACAATTATTAACATGAAGATTAAGCATATTACCACTTTGATCTAGTATTGAACACGATGCAGATAAACTATCCAACATATCAATCAATAATTTGGATCATAAAGGAAAGTTAAAATTAATGGATCAGTTATCTCACCAAATTAAATCGCAACAATTTATATTAGACATGGAGTGCAGAAATTTTACTACCATAAGTTCCTACAGTTATGGTGTGTGCAAATAAAAGGAGAGTTCTTACCTGTCTTCTGTCTAGTGGCAAGTCTCATGAAGGCTGTGTCTTCCATCTTCCAATCGGATCTAAATGCACAATGCAAAATATGGAAGAATCAAACTTTGATATCAAGAACATGTATAACCAGTTGAGAAGGTATCTAGAACATGGACCGCATTAAACATAATCTTAGTTAATTTCCGGTGAAGGTATCAAAGATACAAGTAATTCCTTCATCCACATGTTAGAGCTGCAGTTGTGGGGTTTCAAACTTTTGTATGAGTCTTGCATATCGACCATCTGCAAAATAGCAACAAAAAGCACATATTAGCAAAAACAACTACTTCAAGAAATCACTGGTTTAATACCCAAATAATTTTTTCTCTTAACTTTCTCAAGCCAAATATATCTGATCATTGGAAACACTCATATAGATTATGAACGTCTATGGTTGACTATATCAGGTATCATTTCTACATAAAACATAAATAATTAAACGAAACCCCAATAATAGAATTATTTGTTCAAACTCACCAATGAGTTCTTCAGCAGGCTGCTTAACTCTGCGAGCGAGATCCAGGAAGGAGTCTAAGCCGTCGTGAAAATCTCAGGATAGGCTTCTTTGAAGATTCTCTCTTTTTCTTAGGTTGAGATATTTCTCCACCTATAAAATCCACAGCTGTAAAAAATTTAATACCTTCAATTGTGAAATGTGACTGTAAAATTGTCCACAGCTTACACATTTATTTACCTTGATCTACTTCAATAAATTCGACACTAGATCTTCTGGGTCTTTTCTTCCTTTCTTGTGTCCTATCAATAATTGTTTCCATAGATGTGAAGACCAATTCCCTCTTACTGCTTTCATCATCCTCGGATGCATCAAGATCTACTATCTCTATTATCTCGTTTCTCTCTCCAGAATCCTGGTATTGGTTTATGATTTTTGTCAATATTTGTGGGCCAGAACATGATAATTTTGTGCTTACTAGACTGGGGAACTTCTCATTTGAAGACTCTTTCTCAGTTGATTCAAATATTCGTCTCTTTACACCTGAACGAGTTAATCGTGTCGAAACTCCGCCACCATTCAACTTCCCTTTTATTGCTAACTTTGTTGGATGGTCCTTGGTAGCAGAGGAAACTAGGCACCCATTTTCTGATTCATTAGCTTCTCTGCCTGATTTTTTGTTCAAAGTGACTGAGTATGGAGATTCATCAGGAAAAAACTTAACAACATCCCCTCTACTGATAGTGATTGAGCTATTCAACTTCAAGTCTTTGATTAGTCTTTGTTTGGTCACTTCTTGGACAATATTTGGAAGTTCAATAACATCATCCATGGTGCAGGCAATGGATTGGATAGCAGTAGCTTCTACCTCCAGATACAGATGATCGTCTTGCTTCTTTTCAACATTTAAGGGTAGGTCTGATAGGCAATCTTGTAACCTAAAGATGGAAGATTCTTGCTTATCTGCTAGCTGTCCATGCACTAAGGAAGCAAGTGCTGCTTGAGCAGCAAGAGGATTGAGTAGAGGAGCATTATCACAATGCTTCACAAGTTCTGCATTGACTTTGGTCTGGCTCCTGGTGATTCTTCTAGAGTTACCTTGATTTATGAGTGAAACTGTATCTGACGTAATAGTGCTCCTTCTTCGTCTCGCAGAATTAGCTGCAAACATAAAAATGTTTTCAGCAGTATAACATTGATCTAGAAGTAACTGGTGAGAACACCTCTGAAAATCTTGTCCATATGAATTCTATGTAAAAAATGAAGATATTTTCTTCTGTAATTGAAAAGTACATGTGCATTGCATTATGTTAACATGAGATGCATCACTACTTAGTGCATTTATAAGAACTCCATGTCACTAATACTAAATTAGCACAAGATCCATAACACACCATACAATTTAATCATTAGGAATTATTGAGTCAGCAATATTTTAGATCAATGGTTCCAACTATGAAACCCTATTTGCTTTATTTTAACACCTGCTTCTTGAGTGCTTGCTCAATGACTAATATAAATTTCTTTGCCTGTTAACAAAACCATCAGGTAATAACAATATGTTTGAGTAGCAAAATAATGGGACAAAGACAGCAATACCTTGTTTACATTTCGACAGTACATCTTTTGAGGGCTCAGATCCATCAGCCAATTTGCTAATCATCTCTACTTGCTTTTCCAGATCTTGAGGGAGGTTAGCCTCACAGGTAGCTTCCTCTAAAGAATTAAGGAATGGAAGAACTTTCACATCAGGTATAGGTTTCAAAGCAGCCAAGAATGCAGCTACTACTGGGTGGCTATCAATTTTTTTATCTGAAAGCTTCATAATTGACTTAGATGGAACATTTATTGTTATCCCCTTCAGCTTAGGTACAAGCCATTTGACCACAAAAGTGCATCTGCAGTGCAACCTGCGTGAGTGTCTCACCCTGTATGCCTTCAAATTTAACGGTTGAGAATGTCAGAACAGATTAACTGAAGAACCATTTATAAAGGAAAAATTGACAAGAAGAAAAAAAGAAACTACAGTAAGAAGCTTTTAACTGCACTCCAATGCAACCAAGAGAGCATACTTCTACATACAAAATTTTGAAGTTCAGTTTGCTGAATGCATTTGTTCATGAAAAGATAAGAAGATCATGAAGCTTTTAAGGAGAGGTTAGACTGTTAAGATCCCTTTTATTTTCTGAGCTTTGAATAATATTTTACTGAGTTTGTCTAGTCCAGTAAGAATCAGATAGAGACTTATTTAAGATTTATTTATTTATTAGGAGTCCAAGTCCTGATGGACTCAGGGGTGGAACTCTGTAAATATAGATGTATCTGTTTCTTTTCATCATCTATGAAATATTATTCTAGCTTTTAACAAATCCTAGGAGGTCGATCCCCTTGAAGTGATCATCCCTTTTCTTTCTCTTCTTCTATGATAAAACCCTAGGGTCTTATCATCTAGCATCAAAGCAACAATCCTCGGCGTTCCGTTGTAATTTCTCACATCATTTCGTCGCCGTAGCCATCATCATCTTAAAAAAAAAATAGTAGCCGAGAGTCGCATCCCATCCCGCTTGAGCGAGAAAGGGCCACCGCCTTTGTTTCCCAGCCGCGGTCCTTCTCAGCATCTCTACAGCAGCCACGACCACCACCTATCTCCTCAGCTACTATCGAGCGATCATTGCGAAGGAGGAGACTGTTTCTCCCACCAAAGATGCCACCGCCAGTAGCGCCCTGCGTCGCCCATGACGCTCGCTGCCTCCCCTTAGGTCGCAGTAGCCGCAACCGCAATCACAATCGCTCACAGCGACGCTATTGCCTCCAGCCGTGCACGCAGCAACCGCACGCGATCGGCATCTGCAACCCCCTCCGTCACCATCTTACACCCCAACCGTCGCAACTACCATCTCTCTCCTCAGCTACTGCCGAGCGATTGGTGCGGCTTCCCAACACCACTACACAGAGGGCTAGGGTTCTCACAAGGACCCTCGGCACTCCCGCAACCTTCTTCTTCTCCGCCAGCTTGCGGACCACCAACTTCGGCCACCCCAGTCGCACCACACGCAAAGAACCTCAACCTGACCCTCGTATCAGGTAGGTACGACCCCATCGAGGAGTCCCAAAACCTCTCCTCCCCGACCTCCGTAGCTTCTTCACCTGTTCCATCGTCGCAACCAAGACCAGTGACCTAGAGGAGCAAAGGCAGGGAGTCTCACTATTGCCACCGTCGCTTCCTAACTGCACCACTGCCGCTACCTCCCAGCTGCCGAGAAAGGAAGGAGACAAAGAGGAAGATAACCGCTACCT